GACTTGCGTCTCACCGGCGACATGTTCTCTCATAGAACCGTTCCCTTTTTCTTATTTGCCTACAGTCTATGCTCATCTCCCATCAAAAGTGGCACTGCCCCCTAGAGGCTCAATTTGTTACTACATACTCTGTCTAGAAGCCCATATTTACGGACAAGCTTTAGCAGATCGTCCCCCAGACACTCTCGTTAAAAACATAAAAGACGTCTATAGACGTCTTTGGCAGCCAATGAGTTAAAAGCCTAACCAGGGACGAAGGCTGCAGATTAGCCCATGGCTACAAGCCTTATGCACTTGGACATCGGCCACCTGTTTGGTTGCAATGTTTAATTGTACTGTCCCTGTCAAATAAACAAATAAATAAAATTTCAGGGGCCGAATTCGTTTAAAAGAATCAGACAATTTCACCAATGCACAACAGCCCTGCAGCGTTAAGAAGGTTTTTTATCAAGTCACCTTTAAAACACTGTCTCAGTGCAACAGTAAAACAGGCCTATAAAGCACATTTAAAGACATTTAAAGCGATTATACAGTGGGGGAAATAAGTATTTGACCCCTTTGCTGATTTTGCAGGTTTTCCCACTTACAAAGAATGCTTATTTTTCTTCATCAGATAGTTATCAATTTTGATAAATTCATATGATGTGATTTTCTGGAATTTTCTTTGGGATTCTGTCTTTTACTGTTAGAATGTACATATGATTAAAGTTATAGATCGTTGCATTCTTTGTAAGTGGGCAAACCTGCAAAATCAGCAAGGGCTCAAATACTTATTTCCCCCACTGTAATTTAAAAGCAATTAAGGAATGAATATTTTTAAATTAAGAGTCTAATACGTCCAGCAGAAAAATAAATCAGTGTCTTTTCTGTGTAACAGGACAATGTAAAGCAGGTCTTAAAATAAAACAATAGAAGCAGCTACTAGGAAGGTATTCCTGGTTATGTGTTTGTTTTCATTTTGGGCCTACAGGAGCCTTTAAAATGGAGGAATGTCCAATTAACAAGACATTAAAAGTCCAGCAGAAACCTGGATAAGAACATTAAGTCACAAGTTTATAAATCATACTTTGATTCTGCTTAAATTTGATAAAGAAATACCCTAACCTACTGTCTAAATTACATTATTCATTTATGTACACACACATATATATATTTATATGTACACATCGACTCACTCCCCCATTTCAAATCACAACTCAAAACACATCTGTTTAAGAGGGCCTTTTCTATCTGAGGCCTTTTGATAATGCCATTGCCTCTGACTATTTTATTGATTTTTATTGATGTTTCTTTTAATGCATTTTTCTGTATCTCTGTACGGTGTCCCGTCCCTGAGTGCCGAGAAAAAGGCGCCCTCAAATTATTTTATATATATATAGAGGGAAGCAGCTAAACAAATGCAATTTATATATATATATATACAGTGGGGGAAATAAGTATTTGAGCCCTTGCTGATTTTGCAGGTTTGCCCACTTACAAAGAATGCAACGATCTATAACTTTAATCATATGTACATTCTAACAGTGAGAGACAGAATCCCAAAGAAAATTCCAGAAAATCACAACATATGAATTT